CGAGTAAGATTCAATAACGACTATATTTTCAATTTTAATTTAAATTTAATTGCTACCGAACAAGTCCTTATTGTCCCAATATTAAATTCTTAGGGGAGTTACACCTACCAAGGGCTCTTAACAAGTGGAGATAGATATGGATGAGACATGTGATGCCAAGTTTTGGATGGTTGTTAACCACTTCCTCTTTTTCTTCAGAGGAGAAGATAATACCAAATTAAATGGGAGAATTTCTTGCATTTCCCACACTTGGAATGCATTAGGGGACAAAACTGATGAAACTTTTCTTTTGTCTTTGTTAGGGCATGTTTGGCACTTTGTGATTCTTCAAGAATATTTGAAGTCTTTAAGCTGCACCTTTGATTCTCTCGTCCATCTTATGTCATGACAATAGCAATTTGCTGGCAAAGCAATTAAAGAACAAAAATAGTAAGCGACATTGATGTGACATTTTTATGGGGTATTTCTAAAGGTTGTTAGATTGGACGTGATTAAACAAGTGTAAAATATATCTCGTCTGTCAATTTTACTCAGCCTCCATCGATCCTCTAGTCACAATAGGCCATTGGATAAGAATATTCACGTTCTTTCTATCCTAATCGAGTTTTCGCACCTATTAAAACATTAAATTGACATTGGCAATTGATAAAAAGTGAGCCTCTAGTTTTTTTTTTTTTTTAATTGTATTCTGTCATATAATTTATCGCTCTATCCATCTATGAAGTAAACAATGTCTTAAAGAGAAGGTTCAATTTCCCTCTCCAACTCAGGTTTGCACTTTGTAATGTGAGACATTTGCAAGTAAAAGAACGTGAATCACGTTCGTTTATATTCAGTACAATGTATTGAGGACGAAATACATGCAAAAGCAAATATAGGTAAAAAATTATTTTCATCTTTAAATTCCCAAATAATTCTCATTCTCCATATCATTTTCCCCTTGGAGATAGAATGACGGGCAAAGACAGGGAACAAATTTCAAGAAACAGGGTCTTAACTTTATCAGGGAAGAAAAAGTGCAAACGAGCACTGCTTCTCACAAATTCCATATTCCTCGACATGTAAAACGACACCAAATCAGTTACGACAAATGCTAACCCCTCACGCATTGTCGACAGCACAACGTAGTTTTGTTGAATAAATTCTTTCAAAACTGACAATTCCGGATTCCCGTTTCTCAGCCTTATTATTGCACCAAACCACTCTCTCTCTCTAAATATAAATCCATAAAAAAAAGCGGAGTGTTTTGAGGAGACGGTGAGGATTTTTCTTTGGACCTTTATGTGGGTTTTTGATGAATTGAAAACCCAGATAGGAATTTAGAAATTTCGACTTGTTTGGTAAGTTCTTTCTACTGTTATTCTAAACTCTGTTTTACGTTTTAGTTAATTGTTGCACTATTTGGATAGAAATTCTATGGTCTTATGAATATCGTGTATTTTGAGGATTTTTATTCGAGGCATTTACATAACAAATTATCGATCTTTTGTTGTTAATTCTAGAATTAATTGTACGAACCGATGTTTCAAGAAGATGGATCATCATTTGTAACCTCGTCACCTCTTCAAATGTTTCCGATGATGTCTCTTTCACCTGGTTTTATGTCACCACATCAATGGCTTCAGGAACTTAAACCTGAGGATAGGGGTCTATATTTAATCCATTTGTTGGTCACTTGTGCAAATCATGTGGCTACAGGCAACCTTGAAAAGGCAAACATGGCCCTCGATCAAATTTCCAATCTTGCAACTCCTGATGGTGATACTATGCAGCGTATCTCTTCATATTTCTCCGAGGCTCTTGCTGATAGGATCCTTAGAACTTGGCCTGGTATTTACAAAGCCTCCCGTTCGACCAGGATTTGGATTGTTGCAGAAGAAATTCTTGTGAGGAAAATGTTTTTCGAGTTTTTGCCATTTATGAAGGTCGCTTTTGTGGTCACTAACCAAGCTATTGTTGAAGCCATGGAAGGAGAAAAAATGGTTCATGTTATTGATTTAAATGCAACAGAACCTGCACAATGGCGTGCACTCATTCAAGATTTGAGTGCTCGGCCTGAAGGTCCTCCTCACTTGAGAATAACAGGAATCCATCAGCAAAAAGAGGTTTTGGAACAAATGGCTCATGTATTGACTGAAGAAGCGGAAAAGCTGGATATCCCTTTTCAGTTTAATCCCATTATTAGCAAACTAGAAAATCTGGATGTGGAAAATTTTCGTGTCAAAACTGGGGAGGCTCTAGCAATTAGTTCCATTATGCAGTTGCATTCTTTCTTGGTGTGCGATAATGACCTCAAGAAAAAGTCCCCATCAACGCCATTGAGTGCACTTGGAGTTCATTTGCAAAGGGTGATACAAATGAACCAAAGTACTTTAGGACAATTGCTTGAAAAAGATATGGTTAGTGCTTATAGTCCAAGACAAGATTCAGCTTCTTCTTCGCCACTATCTACAACAACATCAGCAAATATTGATGACTTTCTTAGTACTTTATGGAGTTTGAACCCGAAGGTCATGGTGGTGACTGAACAAGATTCTGACCATAACGGGAAGAGCTTAATGGAAAGGATATCCGAGTCTTTGTACTTTTATGGTGCGTTGTTTGATTGTATGGAGTCGGCTTTGCCAAGAGCATCTTTAGAGAGATTGAAGATGGAGAAGATGTTATTAGGCGAGGAGATTAAGAATATTATTGCATGTGAGGGAGCCGAGAGGAAGGAAAGACATGAGAAGCTTGAAAAATGGGCTCAAAGATTTGATTTGGCTGGTTTTGCAAATGTTCCTTTAAGCTATTATGCTATGTTGCAAGCAAAGAGATTGCTTCAAGGTTATAACAGTGATGGTTATAAGATCAAGGAAGAAAATGGCTGTGTGGTGATTGGCTGGCAAGATCGACCCCTTTTCTCGGTATCAGCTTGGAGATTTAGGCGGTGAAATCTTTATGGGTTCACCATGTTCTTTTTTATTCCTTTAGTTATCGCTCCCTTCTTCATCTGTTGTTAATTTGCAGGACGAACTTGATCTTGTCTTATGTAGAAATTTATAGTGGTAGTCGTATAACTTCTATGTTCATCTCCTCGCGTGTTGGAATGTTTGTTGAAGAATTTTTTGTAATTAACTTCCTATCCAGCTCAATTAGAGTCATGCTTAAACTGTTCTATATATTCATGACAAATCTTATGGTTTCTTGATTCTGTCTTAAAACGAATCTATGTATTCGACTTATATACTGATATTACTTCCTTTTACTTATTGTATAATAATTTTTATAGTTTCTGGTTTTCCTCTTGAACTTTAGTGTTATTGATGGCTCGGATTAGTCGGATAAGGGCCAAAGTAATGTGTTATTTTCGAATAGCTTCTATAAAATCTGTTATGTGGAGCTTATATCTGTACTCATTCCTGCATTTCATGTTTGATTTTATATTGGTGTTGAAGTTAGTGGTGTCAGCCAAGCCAGCCAGCCCAGGTGCAGAGAGGTCTGGTGTGGTCTGCTTACGGGTCAAGATCTGGCCGGGCCTGGCTTGTAACTGTAACTCTTAGCCAGCCTTTTTCTATCTGTATATAAAATGGAACTGTTAAGTTCATTTTCTCTTCTATCGTAATCGAACGACCGTATAGCCATTTGGCGTGATGAATTTTGCACGGTTATTTCTTGGACTTCTAATTTGTAACAAGTTGATATTCATCCTTTTTATTTTGTTGCGCTCGAATCTCCAATGAGCGTGACATCTTGCAAGTTTTCCATTTCCTGAAGACTTGGTACTTAGCCTCTGTTTGAACCAAGTTAAAATTTTCATTCTCATTTTTCTACTCATTTTCAACCACACATTTTTCTGTAAAATAATATTTTTCATCACATCAATAACTTTTCATTCTTTTTCAACTACACATTCTCCATCAATTTACTATTCCAATATACATTCTTCCAAAATAATGTGGATCAAACACACCCTTAATTTTATTTACTACTCCAAATTGAAAATATACATTTACATTATGTTTTTATATTTGAGTTTTTTCATATACAATGAGGTGTTTGAACAGATAGTCACTGGACTTGAAATTTTATCACGTTATAAATTCATTTCAAATTAGAGTCACCTTCGATAGTATTGGTAAGAGATCGCTTGTATTAATTGTTAAGAGAAATATGATGCATTTAATATGTTAAATCGAACAAGATTAATAGGACAACTTACAAGTTTTATCAGGTATTTCTTTCCGTATATCATACCTATTTTAAGGTATCAAACATGCTGATGAATTTATACTATTCCTATTAATCATGGAGGATCGAAGTCGATTAGTCGATCATGTGGTAATCAATCTTTGATATGATAAGTCGACAACAACATCGTCATCAAACATTCTTTTTTCTTTCTTAATATATTTAGCCTCCGTTTGTCTACCATTATTCCAAAAAATTATTTGCTACAGTAAGATATTCCTCTACACATTCACAAAATAAAATATTCTACACACAAACCAATAAAGTTACTTTACTTTTCAACCACACATTCTCCAAAAAATACTATTCATTACTCTATTTTTCTCTCAATAATGGGAGACAAACACACCCTTAATCTCAACCGTACGAATAATATAATTTGTGAAATTGAAGGACAAATAATCACTTAGACTAGAAGTCATAACTTGAACTTGGACAGTGTTTGAAAATACTTTTTAAAGTTTTAGTAGGTAGGATACCTTTTCCTACTTTCTTGATTTTCTTTTCTATTACTCTCAGATTAATTTAATCCGATGGCTAATGAAGAAGGACCCACATTTTGGATATATCTCCTGAGCATGGCCCACAAGGGAACAAAACCATAGAAGCTCAAAAGGCCACGTGCTACCTGAAATTGCATTTCTTTTTTCTTTCTTTAATAAAAAGGAAAAACTGTTATCTTTCTTGGCTCTCTCTCTATATATGTAAATCATTCAAACCTACATACATTTACAAAACAAGCCAATAGCTCAACCTAAAAAAAGCTGATTATGGCTGATTACTTCTTGCAAAACATTAAACAATCTTTCTCATTATCAGACATTAATTCCAACATGGAATTTATGAACAATTTTCCAGAAATAAATCCAAGTTATCAAGATACATCAATCTTGAACTTGCAGAATTTGGTGGGATTTCCCAATGACAATATATATCCTCATTTAGTACATGAATGCACCGGAATCTCAGAAGATTTTCCAAGTTTGTTTATTCACGAGGAGAAGAATTTGGTGCCTCAAATTGCAAATGATCATCATGCAGGAAAGAAGAGGAAAGAAATCGAAACCCCGCAAAGTAGTGGTGCTTATTCATCAGCTCAAGGTTCTGCAAACGTAGTTACAAGGAAAACTGTAAGAAGATTTTTGTTCATTCGTGTTTTTCGGCTTGACCTTTGTGAATATGAATTCATGGGATTTTCTTTCTGTTTGCAGAGTGCAGGGAGAGGGAAAAAAGCCAAATTAAACGAAAAAGAAGAGGATATACCAAAGGATGTGGTACATGTTAGAGCTAAAAGAGGCCAAGCTACTGATAGTCACAGTTTAGCAGAGAGGGTAAGTTCAGCCCTTCCCCTCGAGCATTTCTACGCGCGCCTAAGGCCCTCGATATAATATAGAAGTACTCATGATCATTAGTAATATAGTAGATGCATGTATCAGGTGAGAAGAGGAAAAATCAACGATCGATTGAGATGTTTACAAGACATTGTTCCTGGATGCTATAAGGTGATTTTTCTTTTTATTCTTATATATAAGTGCGCGCGTCTCTGGTTATATGGAGCGAAGCAGATACTACAAGAAAAATGGCTTTTTACCATGCACAGAATGCGTTGTCACAAGTCTAGCAAATGTGCACATGTATGTTGCGGACATTCTGTTCTGCGAAATTTGAAAATTACTGTCAATTCTCTTATTTTCCCCCCAAAAAAATCATCTTGTATGCTCTTGTCCCAATCGTCCCCCGAAGGACTTTGATGTCGCCGTAGGGTAGATGGATACGGCAACAGAAAATGCGTTGCAAAAGATTGAAATTGCGTTGTTATTAAAATTTGCCGTTAATCTTCAACAACGTTCATTTGTACGCACTAATGGTTAATAAAATGACAGACAATGGGCATGGCAGTGATGTTGGACGAGATCATCAATTATGTGCAGTCCTTGCAAAGTCAAATTGAGGTAAGGGGAAGTACTAAACCATAAAATAACTTTATACTAAATCAATAAATCCTGTCTGAAAATCATGAACACCTGATAATAATTCACTTGTACTTTTCAATTTTCAGTTTCTTTCTATGAAGCTTACAGCAGCAAGCACGTTTTATGACTTCAACTCAGAAACAGACGCCTTCGAGACAATGCAGGTCCTTCTTACAACCTTAAAAATCTCAAAATTGCGTGCACAGTTTTCTACGGTTGTAAGATGAAATTTAACACGTTGTTCTATACATGTTGCAGCAAGCAAAGCCGCACGAGGCATCGAAGATGCAAAAGGAAGGATGTGATGGAATTGCTTCATCTCAATTTGGTCCATTAGACCTCAGTTTTGGAAATTATCCCTCTTGGCCAAGGACCACTTGAAGATGCCCCCAAAATTTTCCCCCCTTCTTTGTACCAAAACAAACCAGACATGGTGAAAAAATTTGCAGATTTCAAAAGTTATACACAGTTGTATCTCCTCTCACACTTGTGGGAACTTAACCAATTATTGATTAATTACCCTTGTAATATCTTTTTTTGTGACATTCATTAGAAATAAATAATTTTAAGACTTCTATTGTTGTACGTCATCCTCGTGATTATGTTATCTTGAATAAACAAGATTATTATTTATTTCTAAACAAGTGAATAACACCCAACTTATTGGATAATAAGTCAATGAGCTGAGACAAATGCCAATTATAACCAGCTATGTATGTTTTTGATTTCCAACAAGGATGTCACTGAGGAAACTGTTTGTTACTGTTTACAAATAGAATCTTGTCTTGTATTAAATTGATAGGAGTTACAACTTATGGATATTTTTTCATGGCATGTCTCTTTTCTACCTTTAATTTTTTTGTTTTATTTAAGAATTTTGCTTTCCATTTATTTATTTTTCTTGAGTGGATGCCTTTACTTACTTGTCATGGCTTAATAGTAACCAAACATTGATCAAGAAGGATCAACTAAGTAGACATTTCAATTAATTGGCTCCAAAGGTGTAGGGACATGAACAACTCTATTATTAGCAAAAAAATTGTCCCATTTGTCATCATCACTATAGTAAATTCTTATCTTGACACTATACATGTCAAAAATATAGTATTGATGACAATGTTTCAATTTGCAATTGATAAATGCTAGTACTATACATGTGCAAGTGAGTTGAACAATCGCTATTTATAGCTTTCACTGTTATGTGCAAGTGAGTTGAACAATCAGTATTCATAACATTCAGTGTTTTAACTTTTGTGAAGCGAGATTCCTCTGGTAGGGTACGTTTGGACACATCTAAACACGTCTCAAAACGGATCACTATCTCCATTTCTATGATAGTGAATTAAGCTAGTCTTCAACTAGTAGGGTAAACTTGGTATTGGACTTGGTCATGAGTATAGAGAGTGATTCTCTGGGATCATGATTGAAATAATTATGACAAACAACCTCGTCTAGTTTTGTCTAACTGTGTGTGCTTTATGTCTAATTAGGTTGAACATTAGCCAACCAGTTATCTATTTGGCATTCTCCCTATCTAATGACAAATCAAAAGATAAGATAATGGCCTTGAATCACATCCGACTATTTCACATCTCTTCCGTGTTCCTTTTTTGTGCAAGTTACCTTTCAAGAATTTGACTAAGGAGAATACCCAACTATTGAAATCGACGCTATAGACTTTGCCATTGCACATAACTTAAAATTTTCTCATCTAACTTGCCTCTCAACCCTCTCTTGCCATAGACAAATGGTTGAATTTAGGCAGTAGTATATGTAGATGAAACGAACTTCCATTCTATCTTAATTCCCTTTTTAAATTTTGTTGGAATAATATTTCCAAATAAAAGGAAAAGAGGAGAAACAAAAGAATATAATCAAGAACTTCAAAAAAAATTCAAAGACTCTAACAATATTTGTCCTCTCTCGAATTGAACTTTATGCTTAAAGGGGACTTTTGACAAATGATTTGCAGGATTTATCAAGCCTTGAAAATGAATAAACACTTAAACACTAGTTAAATTTCTTCAAAACTCAAGAATGCAAAAATTAGACTTTTGAATAATAAAGAAACGAGTTTTAATCTTTCTCGTGGAATAGAATTTGATCTCAAGTGGTTTTAATGTGTATTGTATTGATCATTAATCATCTATTTAAAGATCTCAACTATTACTACACAAAATGGTGCCAAAACATGATTAAAAAGGCAATTTTCATCCAAAATGATATCAAGTTCCAAATTGCAAAACCAGCCAATGACTCGTTTTTAACCACATGCGTATGCATAGTATAATACATGCGTACGCATGATAGAAGCATTTTTTGCTTCGGTTCGTCCAGGCTCGAACCATGCATACGCATGGTAGAATAGCCTATGCGTACGCATGGGGCAAAATTCAAATTTCAATTTTATTACACAATCTATTTTATTGATTTTGAACAATAATTTTAACACATTTTTAGTACTTCTTACAGAGAATGTAATACTATTTGAGCATGGCTAACTAAGGGATCGTTTCACAGGTTTCTACTTCTGCTTCTTCTTATTGTTGAACAACTTCGTGAGAAAATCAACTTGGGCTAGCTTCATGAGCTCTTCTAACTAACGAAAGCACTTGCAAAAACAATTAATCAAACAGATCCAAAAATAACATTTAAGTCCCAAAAATAGTTTTAGATTAAAGCTCTACAAAATCAGCTATAAATCTCATTCAAATTTAATTTTCAAAAAACATAGTCCAACTCAATTTAAACTCGTACAATATCAAACCGAGTATAATTTTACACTTCTAACATGCTAATCCCAAATGATTTCAAGGATTATAAGCCGCAAAAACAATATTAAAAAAATTGAGATACAACAAATTTCAATAACAAGAAGCACTTGACAAATCCATGTCGATAAAGAAAAGTGGAACCTACAAAACAATGCAAACTCTAAATCTCATGATGTTGCCAATTCATCAAGTAAATGATTGAGAAGGACATCCCAATCAACCCCCAAGATTATTTACATTATAAAATTACACCATTGGACCCCAACTTGCTGCTTCAATAACAATTTGCTTTCAACATTTCATTTATAAATTGTGTAGTAAGTCCCCATCGATAGAAACCGTCCACACCTTAGTTAAATTGTCACTTACACCGCATGGAAACATGTTTCACTTCGAATTTCTTAATACTGGCACAAGTTGACAAACACCGTACAGTTTCCTTGAATGGTATTTGGACTTTTTTTTGTTCGGGGAATAAAAATTTGAGGACCAATTTACTCATTAGACAATAGGTTGGAAAAATAATTTTATTAACCTATAAAGCATAACTTTATTTCTTATTACAAAGAAGTGAATTAAGCAGATGCATTGCACCAATAGAGGACAGCTTGAATGGGCCATAGTTTGCCCTAAAGAAGATGAGCATTGTGGGTTCTCCAAATTCTTGAAATGATAAGAGTTTATGAACCTTTAAGATCACTTTTCTTCTTCTTTTCTCACAAGTTACTCTTATTTGACTTCCTTTTGACTGAGTTTTTGCCTGTCTGTTGGAGCATATGCATGAACAAGGAGGATGAATAGGGTTTTTTGGGTCCCATTTTTTAACATATTGGATACTGTCATAATTCTATTTGTAATATGGATTGAGGTGATGAATGGGACAGATAACCCGAAAAGAAACTAATTTGGGCAAGTTCAAGGATCCCAGGTGTTCATTATCAAGATTTTAAGATGGTGGGAGTCGTTGGATTGTCACTAATTATTTCGTCTCGTGTGAATGAATAATGTGTACATGTTCTTGCACAAATTTTTATGTTAGATTACTTAAAATCAATCATCTCGAGATCTTGTTAAAGATTTTATGTTTGATTACTGAAAATGATGATCTTAATATCCCGACAAACAATGGATAACCTAAAATACTTACTAGGATACCAAGCTATGTTTGGCAAAATTACAAATATAAATGCATATATAAATATATCCCTCTTCTATTAAAAGAGGGAATCCTCCATTTACTATTCATTCTGAATGTATTTATCTCTTCACATTTTATCCTCCCTCCCTCTTCATAAGAAACAAAATGCTGGGTAATAAATTGTTTTGAAGAAGAGAAAAAGGAGAATCTCTGGTAAAAAATGTAGGCGGTGGAAGGTCATAAGAAACAAAATATTGGGGGGAAATTTATTAAATTGAAGAAGAGAAAAGGGATAATCAAATTATAATAAAGATTTGATAAAAAATGTAGGCGGCGAAAGGCAGTATTTTCCTTAGTGAAAGGTGATGATTGTATTTTTCTTATTTAGTGAAAGGAGGTGGTTGTATTTTTCTTATTCTTTGCTTTTATATAAAAAAAAATTCTCTCTTCTTCATCGAGAACAGGCAACAAACGAAAATGCATTCGAAAAAGATAAGATGAGAAAAGAAAAGGGTGAAGGCCATCATGTACGATAAAGATAAGGAATTTGAATTAGTTGTGGGTTTGCTTACTTATTACCAATAATTCAATCTGAAGTGTAAATTTTTTGAGATTATTGTGATTTTCTAGATGAAATGCGTGTTAAAGTTTGAGCATAATATGTGTATTTTGTTAATTCAAGTTGGAAATATAAATAAAAAATATGACATTAAAGATAAATGATGGGATTAAGCATTAGTGTATGTGTTTTTGCTTTTGTTTTATCATATACACCCTTATATGAAAGTGTATGTGTTTTCGCTTTTATTCATTTAGTTTGGATGTTTATAGTTTTTATATGTAAGATTAAGAAATTGCAATTTATGCTATGTTATGTTACATATTGAAATTGGTTTGGTTTAATTATTTTTTTCTTCTGTATGTAAAGTTAAATTTCTACTAATTAGATAACAACAATAAATAAATAAAAATTATCCCTTCATTTATTTATATTGAAGTAAAAAAAAAATTGTAAGCTTGCAGGATAATAAAAAAAAAACCTTCGGAGCAATGCTTCGTGCATCACGGAGCAAATGCTCTGTAGTGTGCGAAGCAAATGCCCCCTGGACCTCCGCGACCTGATCGGGCAGGTCGATCCCCGTCGGGGGCGTTGCCCTCGAACCTCTACGAGGGGCGCTGCCCCCTCAACTCCTGCAACCTTGGTGCGAGTCCTTTTTAAGTCAAAATTCGCTGTTTTCGCTTTCAAATCGTCAAATTAACTTATTTTCTTCTTTTTACCGCAAGATTTCGTGAGCTACATTTTTTTATATCTTGTCTACATTATCAAAATATATAAAATAGTAGTCAAGTTGATAGTTACATTCAAACAAACAATGTTAAATTAAACAACACCCAACCTTTCTTGAAAATTAGACTTGACTCAACAACATAATTAACTTTCACCTCCAAATAAAATTTATTTTACAGCAATTGCAAATTTATTGGGATAATTTGAATTGCCCATATCTAACATTCAAGATGCAATTCATGATAATTTAACATATTTAACATACTAGTGTTACCTTCAAAATAACCGATGCACGGGCAAAAAACTAGTATATATGATAAATGTGGTAGATTTTCAACTTTAAGGATAAATTATTCAACCATGTAATTAAATTTGCTTGTGATATAGTAAGATATTTGAAGGGTATGGATGTTATTATGTAAGTGTTGATAGGGGGTTAATAATTTGAATGGTCACTGAACTATATCAAGTGATACCACTTAATAATTGAATTTAAAATTGTATCTCATGGTCACCGAACTCCACCAAGTGATTGTACTATTTCATAATTAAACTTAAAAATTATATCTCAACGGTCACTAAATTATCCATCGTATTACCCATCGATCACTCAAATCGACGCCATTTGTTTAACCTAATGGAGTTTCACATATGTCAAACAAATTTATTACGTGGACTATATCAAACATCTACCCCAAATCCACTAAGCAAAGCATGTTTACAAAATGTGATTTAGATTGTAATTCTCAACATCTTATCTCTGAAAGAAGGCCCCATTATTCCCCAATAAGACATTGAAAATCGCAGTCTAAATAGTGTTTTGCAAACACACTTTGCTTACGTGAATCTGAATGGATGTCTAATACGGTCCACGTAAGAAAATTATTTGATAAGTAAAAAAATTCGTTAGGTTCAACAAACAACGTTAACTTAAGTGATGAATGGGTATCACGGTGCATAATCTAGTGACCATTGAGATACAATTTTAAAATTAATTATTAAGTAGTAGTACTTGTTATAATTCAATGACCATTGAAATACAATTTTAAATTCAGTTATTAAGTAGTAGCACTCGATATAGTTCGGTGACCATTCAAATAATTAACCAGTTGATAGTTAAAATACACAAAATATTTACTACCAAAGTCCTTGAGAGTTGGGGGTTATTGCAATTGAGTCCTCAACCTTTTCTTTGGCATTTGAATTTCTAACCTTCAATTTATGTTGACACTTGATAGCTATGTATTAGATTGTTTGGTTTGCTTTCTTCCCAAAGCCATGAGCATGCATGGCTTGCTAATCTTGAAAATTTAACTTGTAAGCAAGTGTGAAATCAAATATTATTATTTTTTGATTAATTTATTTTTATTTTTATTTTATTTAAGTGGTTGTTGGAGAGAAATTATAATGAAAATGAGTAATAGTAAGTGGTAGTAATTGTGCATATTAATTAAAATTAATGTCTGATTTTGATTTTAAATCATAAGGAGGTTATAATTTCTATTCGGCTGGGTTTATAAATTGATTACAATCAGTAAAATCACTTTTTCTAGGACTTAAATCCACTTATTTACTACTCATTTTTCTTTGAGTACATTGTGGTGCGAGGGGGACGGGTGCGTTTCGAACCGCCACCATGAGAGTCTAGGGAAAACGAAGTCTTAATTCTACATAGTTTTCAGAACTAATTTTATTATTTCTTAAAATCTTAATATATCCATTTTGACGTGTTTTCTCCACTAATCCAGCACTCTCCTTATCCCCCTTTGATTGCAACCCATTCGTTCATTTATCTACCCTAAACCCATTTCCCTTTCTTTTCTCGTCCATGTGTTTTCCTGAAATTAAGACCTAGGAGATGACAAATCTTAGTCAATCAACCATCTCGAGGTCGTTTGTGACTAACTTTAGGCATACAAGAGACTATTTTTCACAAACAAAACTAATTTGGAAAATGGAACAATACATATCTAAGGTGGTTAGAAGATACAATTTCAAAATTAACAAAAATGTTTTAAAACTTCAAAATCAGTAAGTCGCAACTTATTTATCGAACACAAATTATCAAATAATTGGTCACACATTATTTCTCGATCATAAATCACAAATTTTATAAATCACAATTTATTAATCGGTTACAAATTATCAAATTAATATGTTATGAATTATTTCTCAGTCACAAATCATAAATTTTATTAGTCACAAATTATCAAATTAATTGATCACAACTTAACAAATTGTAAGTCACGATTACACATTTAGTCGCAATCTCACCTTTTTAGGTTGCATATTATTTATTGGTCACAAATTATCTATTTTATCGGTTACATATTATTTATTTGTCACAAATTATCTATTTTATCGGTTACATATTCTTTATTGATTACAAATTAATCATTTTATTGGTTATAATCAACGCCGCCGCCACCACCATTTGCACCACCACAGCCAGCACCTCACTACAACAACCACCATCACCGCCTCCAGCATCACCACACTTCACCATCATCGTCGCACTAACACAACACCGCCAACACTACCACCAACTGTAAGTACCGCAACTGCACCGCACCGCACCGCATCACACAGTGCACAACCACTGTACTACACACCACAGCACCATCACACCGTCATCTACACTCCGCCACCGCACCATTGCCATTGCGTGCGGCACCATCATCGATCCCTGCTTCGTGCAACTGCCATCACAAACCACCATAACCACGACTCCATAGCATCAATTTCGGAGAAATCAAGCTAAAAATAAATAAAAATAAAGAATAGATGTGGTTGTACCAAGGCGGTTGCACGAGGCGTCTTAGTGGTCTTTTGTCAGATTGTGATGACTCTATCGTTGGCGCAGGAATAAGCTGCGTTGTTACCGACGAATGAGTAGATTGTAGTGTTGCCTTTTCATTAGGGCGTAAAAGATAGAGAGTGTGAGTAGAGCGAGAAGGTGTATATATAATTAATTATAACCTGAATTATGAAAGACAAAATCTTATTTATGAAAGGGAACAATACATAAATAAGGTATTTTAGTATCACCATTTCAAAATTAAGGTTTGAGATTTTAAATTTCAAAAATCAAGTTTTCATTAAAATTTATTTATAATTTAATTAATTAATTATATATTTAATTAATAAATATATAAAGGTTACAGATCTATGCAATTTGGTTACAATTCAAAAAATTTAAGATCACAATTCAAAAATTTTATAGGTCACGATTCGTTTATCGGTCACAAATTAAAAATTT